CCACCCCAAACACCCCCAACACACACATCCCACACAACACTTACATGAGCTAAGGCCTGTAGCGGAGCTATGATGTACTGGTAAGTAATCTGGATGTCCGGCAGGTCTCCGATGCGATATTTACGATACAAGGTCACATGATTCTCTCGCCGTGCCCGCTGTTCTCGTGCAGCCTCCTGAAAAAAAAATAAATAAATAAAAAAATAAACATACAGAGAAAAACATTTAAATGTGAAGCGTGCTGACAAAATGATGGTTTTATGTCTTAGTAAGTGTTTTACAGCACTCGCGTGTTTTGTCAAGGACTGACACTTTAACGATAAAAAACTGTACGTCCAAATGGAACTTCTCTCGTCGACAAAACTGTCAGTTTAACGATGACTCAGATATAGCGTCTGTCGGTTAAACTGTCAGTTTGTCGATGAGTGAACTGTACATGTAAAGGGACCCTAATTCGTGATTCGGACCGCAATACGGTCCTTGAGGGTGAACAGTTACGGTACCGCAGGCTCATAGAGTGCAAAAACCCTCCAGTACCGCACCAGTTTAGAACTGAAGCCGTCCCAAGAAACACGTTTTAAAAATTCATTGAGGCTCATCAACCCTTCAGCTATCACATTATAGAGTGACTTCCTTTGGTATTTACTTCAGTGCATAGCGTCCATTCTTTCTTTAATTATGTTTAGTGCGTCTGGTTGCATCAGCGACTAATTTAGTTGCCAGCGGTAGTCGGTGAGTATTATTGCGTGGCGACTAAAGTTGCTGACGGTACTGTAAGTGTTAACCCTATCCATACGTCATGTTTTACTATTGTATCCATATAACGTGGGGAACTCTGTGCCACCACTTTCAAAGAGGAAATTTACTCGATAATCCGATCCGTACGCTTTGCATCGCAGTCTGTCACAATGATTTTGTGAGCAAAACTGAAAGTTTCAAAGAGATCTTCACACTAGAAGTATTCTAAAATGTGAAGAATACAACCCCGGTGGTACAAAATGACACCAGGGCGTACGGATAACATTAATTATATTTAGTGTGTCTGGTTGCGTCAGCGACCAATTTAGTCACAAGCGGAAGTCGGCGCGTACTATGGCCTGGTGACTAAAGTCGCCGACGGTACTGTAAGCATTAAAATATTGATGAACCATTTCTGCGTGCAAAAGATCTGACATCACCTCTCTCATCTGTCGAAGCCGGATGTTCCTGCGCATAAAGTGCACCGATTGAGCGTCCTTGTCCTTGAGGAACCGTCGCTTCAGTCGCCAGATGTCAGTCTGAGAGCCAGCGCCACCTGGTGGTGGCGGGGTACATAATTGGGGGGGGTGAGAGAGACGGGACAGGTGAGATTTAGCTTTCATAAGAGTATTACGGCACTTGAAAAACAAATAGGTCCAAAAAGCGCTGAAGATTAGAGGTGTTGTTAGAGAAGGAACAGGCGACGTTTAGTTTGAGCAACAGTTCTACGACACTTGCAATACAAATAGGTCATAAAAACGCTGAAGATTAGAGGTGTTATCAGAGAGTAACATACCAATGAAAGAAGGATGAGAGATAAGGATGGATAGACATTTGAACAGGAAAGAACGAGCAACTTACACTGGGACACCTGCCAACAACTCACAAAGAAGTGACAAGAGCTGAGGAAAAATGGGGGGGAAGCAGAGAGGGACGAAACAGTTGAGAGAAGGGACGAATAGTGAAAAGAGAGAAAGATAGACCCCTTTTTGCAAAGACAGCAAACAGAGATGTCAACAGGCTCCCAACAAAATGCATGAACCATTCCAGCTCACAGAAACATGCATTTATAAGGACACTCAAAATTTGCACATCATATGATCTAATATATATCTTATATCAAAACTATTTTTTAGATAAAATGCAATATGACAAACACAACCACATTAAAGTATAAATAAATGTATGAGCCGGAATATATATCAACAGACAAGAAACTTAAAATTTTGTGAAATGCCTAAAGCTATGTGCACACAGGACTAGGCGCTGTAAAAATTATGCACATTATTATAATCATATTTATTATCATTATTATTATAATTATAATTTTTAATATCATTATTATCAACTTGATAATCATTATTATCATTATCATTATTATTATTATCATTATTATTATTATCATTATTATTATTATTATTATTATTATCATTATTATTATTATTATTATTATTATCATTATTATTACTATTATTATTATTATTATTATTATTATTATTACACACACTTAGTCAGGACAAGTTCTGAAATCCAATTTTCAGATTTATACAAAAAAATCGGCACTTCTAGACAAAGAGAAACCAACCGCCCCCCCCCCCTCTCCCCACCTCTCCCCACCCCAGGAACACACATAAAAACAAAACAAAAACCTGGCTAAGAATGTGTGTAAGAAGTTGTTTGTTTGTTTGTTTGTGTATAAGCTGTTTGTTTGTTTGTTTATTTGTGTATAAGAAGTTGTTTGTTTGTTTGTTTATTTGTGTATAAGAAGTTGTTTGTTTGTTTATTTGTGTATAAGAAGTTGTTTGTTTGTTTATTTGTGTATAAGAAGTTGTTTGTTCGTGTATATGAAGTTGTTTATTCGTTTGTTCGTGTATAAGAAGATGTTTGTTTGTTTGTTCATGTATAACGAGCTGTTTGTTTGCTCTCACCATCAGCCACATCCTGGTTTCCTCCCGTCACCGCCGCAGCATCACCAGGCCCGGCGCCGCCTCCTGCGGGGGTTCGAACGGCGGCCATTTTCTTCTCCCCCGACGGACGTCCCTTTAGCGAGGAGCCTTTCGCAGACCCCTGTCCTCCCTGTGGACCCCTGTCCCGGCGGAAGAGAAGCTGAGAGTCCCCTCCGATGACGGCCGTGTCCGTGAACGTGTCCAGGCTACTCTGGGTCAGCCAGTTGAACACTCGGCCCGCGCCTGGGAACGGTGAAATGATTATTGGTTCAACTCACTCAACAACCCTCTCTCTCTCTCTCTCTTCTGGCGCTGTGGCTTCATACAAGGTCAGCGATGCCGACAGCACGCAGGAACTCAACACTCGCCCGGGGGTCCTTAAAAAGTGCTGAAAGTGGGTTATTGCAGAAATGTCCCAGCAGACGGGTTCTAGCACGATAGCTGGCGGGACATCTCAGGAACACATGGTCCATAGCTCAACAACCCAAGGCCAGCACTTCTGGGTTGTCAGCTCTATCTAGAGATTTTTCCCACTTCTTGAAAAGTTGAAAAAAAACCCAACTAAATGTTAACATATCCTACCCATATTTGGTACACATTTTATTCAAACCTTTATTTCTGGGTAAAGAAAGTTTGAATGCAAAATCTGTCTTAGTTTTTATGCAATACTCCGTGGATAAGTCTATATATTGAGTCAAAAAGTAAACAAAAAGCGAAGAAAGGAAGTGCGTTCAAATTTCACACCCCCTCACATGGCTCACGAATATAGCTTTCTTTGTTCTACATTTGGGCTTGCACTTCTGGTCATAGTCTGTCTCAAACGAAAAATGGTTACTCTTCCAATTAGGCTATAGTCTGCTTCACACAAAAGTAGTGTTTTCCGTCACGAGAGTGAAATTTTTCCATATCAATACGGTCGGCGTCAGGGTTTGAGCATTGTGTGCGCCTTCCAATATTATCAGCGTTAGGGCTGGGTGAGTTTACGCCCCTATCAACACTGTTAGGCTATTTAAGAGGTGGGACCTGCTTGTTTAACATCCATCTCTGCAAGGACCAACGCCACTCCGGCTGCTGGTCAATCACCACATGTAGATGAGATATACATATATATATATATATATACATATATATATATATATATAGTCGGATCTGTCTGAGATGGCCATTCAATATCAAGAGGCGACTGTCTTCAGAGATAAAATTAGCGAGAAAATGGCCGCCAAAGTTTGATAACTTCAGTAGCGTGAGAGTCCCTGGAAACTGAAAATTTACATATTTTGTGTGCCTTTAATCAATATTTTTCATTAAAATTCACATGGAAATGTGTTTTGAAATGGACATAAAAGATGTTGAACCAAAAATCAAAACAAAATTAGATAACAATTTCCAAACTAGAGGAAAAATGCCCGTTTCTTCGATTTCCATATTTTGACAAGCGCCTGATCTCACCGTGATGCCTCACAAATCGCTACCCTAGAATTACAACGTTCTATCTGCCCAGTACCTGGGTTTGGGAAATTTGACATCAAAGATTCTGAGTTTCACAATATGTAAAAAATTTTGAGTTTCACAAGAAGTCAAAGATTTTGAGTTTCACAAGAAGTCAAAGATTTTGAGTTTCACAAGAAGTCAAAGACTTTGAGTTTCACAAGAAGTCAAAGATTCTGAGTTTCACAATACGATTTCAAGCTTTTTGGAAGGCAATCCTTTGAATATCCTGAAAACCACTCCGAATAATCTTACAATTTTGACAAGAGAAGATAAAGCGTTTGGTTTCTGACCTCAAGGTCTTAGTCACTCAAAACTGCCAGAAATGTCAGATAGAACTTTGTTATTCTAAGACTAGCTGGACCCCCTTTCGATGAAAGGAATGATCGCTGCATTAACATCAACTGAAAGTCATTGGCCTACTACATTTACACTCTACTGGGAAGGAGCAATAAATCTTGAGAGATGCAAAAAATTAGAAGGTCTAGATATGGAGATCTATAGATTTATTCTCTATTCTGCTTTCGTTAGTGTGTACGGCAAGTGATCGGAAATCTCGCCTGTTTACAATGGCATCTTAGAAGACGGACTTTCCCAAGATTAGATCTAAACGAAACTAATGAAAAACTGAAAGTTAAACTACAGTGACTTAAGGCTCCTCAATAAAACTGTGCACCCTTTAAATGATTCTGAACCACCCTTAATTTTGTCAAATTCGAAAGTTAAAAGTGGTTCGGAAGTTTTAGGCGACCATAGTGAGGAACTTTCACAAATATAATATGTTTAGACAGCGAAATGTTATTTCATCATAAACTATCACAACTGACCGGTGGCGTCCATTGTGGCGGTGAACTGCTGGACGTCCTGGGTCGCCCGGAGACCACCGTCCAGCTGATCCGACTCATCCGTGTCCATCGACTGACTGACCAGTGTGCTGGCAAACAGAGGGGTCATCACCGCATGCCGCTGTCGCCATGACGACTGAACCGAGTAATCCTGTGTGATGGGGAGGAGTGTTATGACCAGAGAGTTTGGAACTCCTTGCCCTACATAAGACTTCAGAGAAACCAAAAAATCCTAATGTGTTTAATAAGCAATATTGCTTAAGACTCATTTGTTTAAATCTTGGATTGTGGTAGGGTGGCCAGTTCCTTTCCACGCCGCCTTTACTTCCCCAACTCGAAGACAGGTACCCATTACTGCTGGATGGGCAGGAGGGGGCCAAAAAAATCTGTGTCCCAACCTAGGCTCGAACGTAGACTTCCTGCTTCGGAGACGGGCGTGTGAGGTGTAACTGATCCCTTTTAAACACAAGGGGGCTATCCCGAAAAATGCTGTTTTGAGAAAATTGAAGGTAAAGTTTTTCCCCCTTGTTCAGTTTCTTTAAAAGACAAGGAGAGTTTCCTCTATAACCAAACAAATATACACAACAATGAAACCAAACTTCTCCTATAGGTAGGGCAATGCTCACTTTTGGTGTAGGTCAAGATTTCTGGAAACCCCCGGAATCTTGATTAGCCCGCTTGTCCTTAAAAGTGACCAATTTATCTAAATGCTCACCTGGAAAGTGCACTCGCTGAGAGCATGCTCGAAAACCTTGCGGGTGTAGTCTGGCGACTTGGAGGTGGCCTGCAGCAGGAGGTTGGTGGCGTATGCCAGATAGTGCGGCTCAGTGCTGGGAGAGTACATGGCCTCCAGCATCGACACGGTGCGCTCCAGCGTGCTCTCCGGCAGACGCGTGTTGCTGCTCCAAAAGTTCTGGCACATCAGTCTGTAATTAGGTCAAAGAAGGACGTTAAGGGTTTCAGTAAGAGTTTTACGGCATTTGCAACACGGTAAGGTCATGTAAGTGCCGGAGATTAGAGGTGTTACAAGAGAGTAACAAAAACAAAAAAGAAGGAGGAGAGATCAGGACAATAGATGTTTGATAGGTAAGAAGAAGGAAATCACACCAGAGCACCCGCCAACCTCCCATAGGACATGAGGGTTTTGACCAAATATGATAAATGCAATGGGCCAAGATTACTATGACCAAACAAGGCACAAGCAAAAGCCAAATATAGTAAAGAAAAACTGTTTCGACGTTAGTTTTTATACAAAAATTTACAGACAAAAAAAACCCCCATGATTCAGTAAGGTAATAGCTTTTCGATTCAAACAGCAGCTATTAACAATGATTTCCAAGAACTACAGAACCTACGAGCCATGAGTGTTATGTTACGACTGACTTGAGTCTAGGAGTAGTAGATCTAGATGATAGTAGTTGATGTTGTTGGGGCCCCACCTGCTGGTCGTCTGCTAGTTCTTCGTTAGCCGATGTTACTCCCTTCGGCTTCAGTGAGAGAGTGACCTTCAGATTCCCCACCGCTTGCACGAAATCACAGTCACGTGATACGTCCCTTAGGCCTACCTCACAATAATTATTAAGGTGCGTTCACACTACATGTCCCTCTATACTTAAGGTGCGTTTACACCACAATGAGCAACCCTTTTCCTAAATCGTAACTCACCGGCAGGCCAGGTTTTCATCACACAAGCCACGCAGCAGAGCCTCTTTGGTCAGGCTCATCACTCGGTGACTCTCCTCGTCCTCGCCGGCTCTGAAATACATCGTCACAGTAAGAGATGTAAGCTCTTGCTACAACAGCACCTGGACATGGATTGCTGGTGTCTGTATAAATAAATTATAGATGGTCAAGATGTCAGCTCGGTCGGTATCATACTGGTGCAGATAGCTTGCTAGCTTTGATGTTTTAGTAACGTTTTATGGCGCTCTCCACTGCACAAGGCCATATGCGCGCCAAGGGGTGGATCTCAACAGAGGAGTCAAAACGGGGAATATCAGGCTTACTCTGTTCACCTCTCTTGCCTCAACAGCACAAAGTCTGCTTCGACTATCAAAGCACCTTGGAAATAGCAGTTCACAAGAGAGTGACAAACATACAAAAGAAGTAGAGGAAAATGACGATAGTAAGGATGAGGAAAGAAAAAGCAGCAGTTCCTCCTATGTTGTTCCGCCACAGTATGAGCTTGACATTGATAGATCAGCCCATTTACAATTCTAAAGTGCATAAGAACAGGTTAATATCCCCCCTGCAGGTAAAGCCTAAAGAAAACTTCAGTCAGTAGCACTGCCCTTGTGTGTGTGTGTGGGGGGGGGGGGGGGGGGGACCTGCTAGCTCTGATGTTTTAGTTAAGTAAAGCTCTGAAAACATAGTCACAGTAACTGATGTTATCTGGCTTGACATCATACTGGTGCACACAACCAGCTAGCACATGGAAACTGAAAATGTACATTTTCGTGCCTTTCATCAACATCTTTTTAGTAAAATCCACATAAAAAATGTGATTTTGAATAGACATGAAAGGTGTTGAACCCAAAACAAAACAAAAAATTCCATAAAAATTGCCAAACCGGCGGAAAAATTGTGGTATCTTTGATTTTCTCATTTTAGACGAGCGCCTGGTTTCAGCACAACGTCTCACGTGTAGCTATCTGGGTTGCCGTTATTTAGCAGGGCCTCACCTGCAGTTGCTCTCTAGTGGATCACTACCTTGTTGTGGTTAAAGAGCTTGTGTGCCTCAGTGACCCCAAGAGCTACGCTGGCTGGAGCTAATGCTCCTGGTAGGGCCACCCATGCCAGACAGGTCGACGGGTAGAGGTCAGACGAAGCGTGATCCACCGACCCTCCAGGTTTCGGAGGTTCAGCTCAGGGCTAACAACCCAGACTGGTAAAAAGCATATGTTACGGAAACAGCAACAAAGAGAAACCATATTTCTGTGTGTGATGGACCTTCAGAGTCCCTTGGGACTCGTATAATCATTCGTGGGGAACGCTGACCAAGATGGCCCAAAACAGACAGAGCTGGAGATCCTTTGTTGCTGCCCTAAACGCCAGATGGTGTAATGGGTAGTAAGTAAGTCACCTGTAGTTGTCGTACGCCCACATGAACACCTCCAGCATGACGGTGCGGCAGGCCGAGCTGCTGTGCGAGGAGAAAGACTTGACACTGGGGAGCAGGGACAGCAGCTCCGCCGGCGACATCTTCAGGGCCAAAGCTTTGACGATCTTCAGCGAAACCAGCTGTGTGTCTTCGTCTCTGGGGAGGAGATAGGACAGGAGTTGGTGTTAAAACATGTCTTAAACTAAAAAATCAGTGAGTGATATGGAAGGCGTTATACCAGTGGGTGAAAAAGAAACAAAAAGATTAGACATCAAAGAATGATAAGAAGACGTTATACAGGTGAGAGAGGAAGGAAAACAAAGTTAAACACCAAAGAGTGGTAGGAAGACGTTATACCGGTGAGTGAGTTAGGAAGAAACAAAAAACTAAGAAATCAAAGAGTGTTAGAAAGGCGTTATACCAGTGAGTGAAGAAGAAAGAAACAAAAAGCTTAGACATTAGCGAGTGATAGGAAGACATTATACTGGTGGGTGGAAAAGAAACAAAAAGCTTAAACACCAAAGAGTGACAAGAAGACGTAATACCGGTGTGTGAGGAAGGACGGCAAGCCCTTGCTGTTGATCTCCAAGAAAGCGTCCTCCATCTGATCCACGTGTCCTAGGATGACCTCCAAGCACGCCGGTCGAAACTCTCCGTGCAGGTTCGGCAGCAGGAACAGAAGCTTGCTCAAAAACCTAGTGGGGGGGGGGGGGGGTGGGGGGGGGGGGGGGGGGGATAGAGTTCAAATCTACTTCAACTTTCAGGTGAAAAGACAGCTTGCTCAAAACAGATAAGGAAGGATAGAGTTAGAAAGTTTTTCAACCTTCAGTACAGACATTTGCTTGCTCAAAAACCTAGGGGGATAGAGTTCAAATCTACTTCAACTTTCAGGTGGAAAGACAGCTTGCTCAAAACAGATAAGGAAGGATAGAGTTAGAAAGTTTTTCAACCTTCAGTATAGACATTTGCTTGCTCAAAAACCTAAGGGGATAGAGTTCAAATCTACTTCAACTTTCAGGTGGAAAAAAGCCTTCAGGTTTTCAGATAAACAAAAGATTGTTTTACTTTGCTGAAGACATTATATGGAAATAAATCATTTCATTCGTCTAAATCCGTTACTATCCTATCAGCAGGAATGAGACTAAGACCAATCGACGCCCCCTCCTCAAACTCTACAACATACTTGATTTTCATTTTTTCGAAATTTTGACATACTGCAACCCCTCCCAAAGTCCAACCCTTCGTCCCCGTCAGAAAAAGTGGAAACAGGACAAAGTAGTAGAGGATAGCTGGGTCTGGATGAAGCACGGTGTGACTTTATGTCATTGAGGCATTACGCTAGCCACGAAGGCCGAACCAGCTCACCCAGAAATGTTGCTGGCTCAAAGGGCTCTGGCTGTACCGTGACTGGCCTAGCAAGCCAACAGCCGACAGCCAACAAATCTTGCTAGGGGAAAAACAAAGGAGAGTACGCAGTAATATTCCAATTGAAAGAGCTGCGGAGCTGGCCTACCGTAGAAAACTACATCTCCTCTCCACACTAACAGCAACAGAGAAGGAAACAGTTTTTCAAGTAATTAGTATAATGTCAAAGAACTGCGACAAAATTCAAGCTCTATCACCTGACAGTAAACTTGGGGAACGTCTTGTGGATCCTGTGCAAACACACAATGAAGTTGTCCGTCTTAGCATGAGAGAGGTTGGACAGTTGACTGACCAGATGGTCATGGAATGACCCTTCCACCTCACCGTCTGACCGCTCCATTTTCAGCAAGACGAGGCCGATGACTTCAGCGGTGGCCGCGTACACGATTTTAAGATGGTGGTTCATCAGGTTCGACAAGCTACTCAAGTATCTGAGGAAAAGGGGGACAAAAATCATCAACAATTCTGCAGTAAGTTGGCAAAACGCCTTTTTTTTATTCACGGCAGTTTCGAGAAAAAGAGTGGGGTTTTTTGTCAGCATACCCATTGAAAAAAATAGAGCACTTCCGAAATTTGAATTCGTATTTATTCAAAAACATACAGTTTCACTTTGATTTTTTCACACACGTAGGGTAACTGATCAGGTTTTCGATTTAGCAAATAAAAAATTTTGGCACCAAAATGAAAAAGAGGGTCAACCGCAGTGTAAGGGATACAACATCCAAGAATCCAAACAGTGATTTTTTATCAAAAAACTTCCCCGACACGGGGATCGAAACTATGTCTTCTACGTTTCAGTAAGGTTTTATGGTGCTCGCAACAGCATATGGTCATATGAGCGCCAAGGGGTGGATATCAACAGAGAAGTCCAAACAGAGAATCAGACTTACTCTGCTCACCTCTCTAG